GACCCAAAGGATGAACAAACGTCAAAAGAAGATGGTAGCTTCAAGAATCTTATGAGTAAGTTCACGGAAAAGATGAAGAAACTAGTACTAGAAATTAGACAAATGGAAAACGACTCCAAACAAACACCAACACCAAGAAACCGAGTAAAATGTTACCGGTGTCAAAGGCTTGGACACATGCAATGGGATTGTAGACTAAGGATGTCCTCTCCATCTAGGAATCGTTCTCAAAGCTTTTGGAGGTCCAGAGACGCTAGTCCTAAACATCGACCTGGAAACCCGCATGAGAGGAACACTAGTCCAGCTGTGAGAAGAACGGGTCTGATTGTTGATGACAAGTGGACTACGAAACAAATGAGAGAAGATCAGGAAGCAGACCAGGACATTGGGCAAATTCTACATCTTAAAGAAAACGATGAATGTAGGCCAGAATGGAGGGAAGTGTCAAACAAGAGCTTGATTTACGAAGCGTTGTGGGCCCAATGGAACTCTCTGGCCGTAGAAAATGGTTTGTTCAAAAGAGTTTGGGAAAGTGCCGATGGGAAATCCACTAAGAGCCAACTGGTTATCCCAAAAGACCGAGTGGAAGATGTATTAAAAGAAATACACGACGGAACCTTAGGGGCACATTTCGGAGTTAACAAGACTTTGGACAAAATTCGGGAACGTTTTTACTGGGTTCACTACCATGAAGACGTTAAAAGCTGGTGCCGAAAATGCGACATCTGTGCTACCAGTAAAGGCCCTAAACTAAGATCTCGGGGGCCCATGAAACAGTACAACGTCTGTCTTCCATTTGAGAGAATAGCGATAGATGTAGCAGGACCGTTCCCAGAGTCAGAGCGTGGTAACAAATACATCTTAGTTATCATGGATTACTTCAGTAAATGGCCAGAAGTTTTTGCTATTTCCAATCAAGAAGCCATCACTGTTGCTCAGGTGCTAGTGGACGAAGTTTTTAGTCGTCATGGTGTGCCACTAGAGTTACATTCAGACCAGGGACGAAACTTCGAATCTGCCATCTTTAAGAAAGTTTGTGAGATCATGGGCATTCGTAAGACAAGGACAACACCTTTACACCCTCAGTCTGATGGCATGGTGGAACGATTCAATAAGACCATAGAGAAACACCTGAAAAAAGTGGTCGCAAAGAACCAACGAGACTGGGACAAGCATTTGCCTCTATTTTTAATGGCTTACAGAGCGGCTGTTCACGATTCAACAGGTGAAAGTCGGGCTAGAATTGTTTTTGGAAGGGAACTCAGGTTACCTTGCGATCTGATGTTTGGAGTACCCGAAGAAGAACGAAGAGAAATCCGAGATTATGCCGACGAAGTAAGGGCACGACTTTTGGGAATCCATGATTTTGCTCGGGAAGACTAGATACGACTTGAAAGCCAATTCGGTCGGATTTCAAGAAGGTGATTTAGTGTGGTTGTATAACCCAGCAAGAAAGAAAGGAGTATCGCCGAAATTGTCTTCAGCATGGGAAGGACCCTACAAAATAATCAAGAGGATCAATGATTTGGTTTATCGAGTCCAACGCAACACCAGGAGTAAGATGAAAGTTGTACATCTGGACAGGTTAACGAAATATCATGGGCGTGAAGTTGATCGGGACGATCAACCCTAAGAGGAGGGTAATGTGGCGCGGCGTTCGCCAGGCTGTCAAGAATCTCAACCTCGATGGCGGAAATACGAGAATCTAGCGAATTATTCTACTTTATTCTGGAAAATAAGATTATCGTGTGTATTCTAGATTTTACAGGAATAGATTTAGGGATATATAAGAAGGCCGGTATTGGTTTGTAAGTTAGTTAAGTTTCAGTTCGAGTGTGATACGATTTAAATAGTGATTGTAAAGAGTTTAATTGTTGAGTTTGTTAATAAACTAATTAGTGTCAGAGTGTTTTGTTAAGTGGAATAAATTATTGCTGTGTTAATTGGACTTTGATTTTTGGAATAAACGAAACGAACAACGAACCCAAGATTTCTGTCAGGCAACCCAAAGCCGCGACAATAGTATCTTCGTTAGTTTGCTAATTTACTACTGCGAATTCGACAAAAACACATCTGATTGCGACTGTTTCCGTGCGGAAAAATACGCATATAAATCGCAGTCAAACCGACAAAATATGCGCTAGTTTGAATTTGTCTGTGAAAAACAAATTGCGAATCAATCATCTGCGGTGGGAAAATTCGTTGGTGTTGCGAATTTTCCGCGTTGGTTTGAACTGTTTGAAGGAACCTATAAAGTTAAGGCTTGCGAAATTCGTTTCGCTGGGAGGGCTGTGCACAGGGCCGGCCCTACCATAAGGCGAATGGGCGAATGGAACGAGCGCTCCAGGCGCCAGACCTCGAGGGGCGCCTCCGACTTGTTCCTTGGTGAAAAAAAAAAAAAAAAAAAGCGAAAAATATGTTTCTGAACGATATTTTTGCATTACAGCCTATGGCCTAATTTTTTATTTTTTCCCTGGAAATCTGGGATACTTTGAGAAATGTGAAATTTTTTCATATATCCAGAAGCCTTTTAGGTTAAACATACCAAAATTTGAGTCGAAAAAAACCAAAGATGGCTGAGTTGCGATTTTTTTAATTCAAAAGCCCCACTGAGTGATATTTTTGCATTACAGCATAGCTATGGCCTGATTTCTGTTTTTTTTTCTGGAAATCTTGGAAACTTTGGGAAATGTAGAATTTTTTTATATATCCAGGAGCCTTTTAGCTTTGACATACCAAAATTTGATTGGATAAAAACCAAAGATAGTTGAGTTACGATTTTTTTTAATCCGAAAGCCCCATTGAGTGATATTTTTGCATTACAGCCTATGGCCTGATTTCTGATTTTTTTTCCTGGAAATCTTAGAAACCTGGAGGAGCCAAATATTTTTTAACATATTGAGGAAGCTTTTAGTTTCAACATATTGAAATTTCATTGAAAAATAATCCAGGATAACGAAGCTATGATTTTTACAATTAAATAGACTCACTTAGTGATATCTTTGCCATGGTCTGATGGCCTCATTCCTGATTTTTTTTCTAAAAATTCTGAAAACTTCGATTAACCAAATATTTTTTTATTTATTAAGGAAGCTTTTAGCTTCAACATACTAAAATTTTACATAGAAATAGCCCAGAATAACGGAGCTATGATTTTTACAATCAGACAGGCACACTTAGTGATATCTTTGCCATAGCCTGATACCCTCATTCCTGATTTTTTTTTCTAAAAATTCTGGAAACCAAGATCAACCAATTTTTTTTTATTTATTAAGGAAGCTTTTAGCTTCAACATATTGAAATTTTATGGAGAAATAGTCCAGGATAGCGGAGCTATGATTTTTACAATCAGATAGACACACTGCTCTGAATCATGTCTTCGTTTTTCGATATTCTGCAATTCTGCTTGCGAGCAAAAGGATGGTAAGTCTGTGATAAGACATCAGCCGAAACCCAGGCAGTAGGTAGGAAGAGCCCAGCTGGCGTCTCTCAATACCAATTCCTGTGCCTGTGGTGCCTATACTGAATATCTCCTATTAAAGGGGGTGTAACCTTTAAATACAACTTAATTGTATTCGGAAAATAAAGGAAAATTCTAAGAATTCTTATGAAAATCTTGCATCGCTACTCAGAATAATAAGGTAGATACGACCAAATAAAATTTTGTCTATTCATCGCGTGACGTCATAAATACACGCAAACATTGCAAAACCTATTTAAACTGACGCAGCAATAGGTGTGAGAACGCAAAAACGATACGATAATATCGATAATAGCTTTTTTCCAACCGACATGAGAAACGTTCTAGAACGGTAATTTCCAGTTGATCAATTCATTTGTCAAGTAGAATAAATGTTCAACTTATTGAAAATTAGGTGGACAACTCGAAATTACGGGTTCTGGAACGGTTCTCTTGTCGGTTGGAACTGAGCTAACATATGCAGCAAGAATCAGCAAACGCGCGCCAGCGCCGGGTGTCGGACTCAGTTTGTGCATATGACGTCACAGTGCTAAGAGTAGGAATTTTATATCACAGTATCTTCGCAACGGTTGGTCGTAACCTAGTGCGGTTTGAAAATTTGTTCTTAGACTTTTTTTTCTAAAACTTATTTTTGGGTCACATCCCGTTTAAGATTATCGATAGCTATAATTTAATTTGTTTTTAATTCGAACAATACTTAATAGAAGAAATACTTAAATGATTTTTTGAAGTATTTCTACATGAATGTCATTTCAAGTACGCAAGTTTAAGTGAATTGACTCTGACTTTCGTGGAATTTGGTACTCGTACTTGAATTTGGGCAATTTAAGTCAATTTACTTGACATTTTAAGTATTTCCTTTCGTAATTACTTATACTTGTACTGGTACTTGATTCATATTTTAAAAAAAAACTTTTAATTGATACTTAAGTACTTTTTCTTGGTACTAGCTTAGAACATCTGATCGGTGGACAGAGTATACGATTCGCATTTACTTAATTAGGGGCGCCAAAGTCAGATATCGCTCCATCCTAAAAGTAACCTTGGGCCGGCACTGGCTGTGCAAAACGTCGATCTTTCCATAAATTCCACAACGAAATTCGCAATTCGTGATTCCGTGACTAGAAATCTGTAATTTTTTTCTAGCCTTTCGACTGATTACAGAAAGTAGTGACATCTAGATTATTTTTAGGTAGGTTCCTTTAAAATTCGTGGCGTCACCTTGTACCAAATAAGAGTACTACATAGTAAGAGCACTGATTCGATTGTTCAAGTCTGCACTAAACACAAAAAGAATCAAGAACGTATAAATATCTGCACCTCAGATCTGCACTGGTTTTTAAATATTGAAATATAAAAAAACTATTCGAAAAGTGCAATTGAACAGAATGTGAGGGTTGCGGCCATGGTTGCACTCAATGAGAGCTGAATTTGAATTTGTTTTCGTTGAGAAGTATTTATGTATTTGTGTTGTGACCCTGTCTGTGACGAGCAGCAGAGGAAAGAGCAGCATCATTGTCGCCTTTCGTGATATGAAAATGATGCTAATTTATTTTTTTCAAATCAAATCGAGTTGGCGTATAATATCGCGCACGCGCATGGAATTTCGTCGTAGTTGCCGTTTGGTGCAAATTTTGACAGAGGGCAGCAGCTGGTGATCGTTGAAAGAAAAGGCATATGGCGTACGTTTCTATATTTGCTTGACAAAAATTAGTATTTTTAAATAGTTGTGTGTGTGGTGAATTGGAAAGCTCGAATTTCAATCGATTCGGTATTCCTCAATTTCTCGATCATCAAGTGCGTTTCAACAAAAAAGTATTCTCTCGAGCGATCCGATTTAATTTATTTTATAGAAGTTTACGTGTTTACTGTATGTTGAGTTAATAATTGTTGACGAATATAAAACCGACCTGTGATATTAAAATAGTGTTATTATATAGGTTTTCTTTATACAATTTTTGATTATTTATTGTACAACCTAGAATAGGAACTTAGTAGCTGACTCTAGTAAAGTGTAACCAAAGAACGTCCACTGAAATGTCGGAAAACGGCTCCGATATTGAACAAATAACGTCGTCGAATTCGAGTGACAAGCAGTCTAAAAATGGTAAGATTATTTTTTGCATTATTTTCTATCCCATAAACCCTTTACTTTTCCCTTAAGGTTTGATTTTGCGAATCTTATTGTCCTTTGCAAAAATCAATAAGTTTCAGGGTTATCACATCACTCACTCAAAATGCGTCGACCCAAATAAACGATTTGTGTTGGTCTACCTTTGTTATTGTGTAATGAAACTATTGAGTAATTTGGAACAAAGTGTTCGGTGTGTATTTTTATAATACTTTCATGTTTATAAAAACAATTAGGAACTTGAGAGACAAGTATTTATTTTTGTCTTTGTTTTTTGAAAATACTCTTCTTCATATTTTATTATTATTTATAGCAAAAATTCGCTTTCAAAAGCTGTGCACTGACTGGTGCTAATATTATTGTGTTTATCTATTTCCACAAATAACAGTACTATCGTTTTTTACACAGTGAATTTAGTCAAACAGGATAATATCAATACAATGGACAAAGACATGTAGCGAAAAATAAAAAGTATTTTCCCTATGCAAAAAGAATTATTTAAACAGCCACAATGGTCTATGTTGATATGTTTTGGAATAAACACACTGAAAGGGCTACCAGCTGAACATTTTTCGATTTGCTGAATTCACAATCTCAGCTATCAATTAGGACATGATTAAGACACATCCTAATCCTGCATGACCTAGTGGGTAATTCTAATTTTAAACTGAAGAAGTGGAGTTGAAATTTAATTTTCAAAGAAAAACACCGAATCTTCCTCCACAAATAAACCTTAATTATTTCATAGAGCCCTACATGTTTCAGAACTAGAAAGTTCCATCATTAGGGGCAAGTATGCTCAGAAAGTAAGTGCTCTTAAAATATCATTTGATAAATTCTAGATGAGGTCGCTGAATTAGCAAATGGGGGAGGAAAATCAAAAAAGGGGGTCAAAAATTAAAAAAAAAAGACATATATAATTTGTTTTTCAATCTTATTTCAATTTAAATTTATCGAGAGGCATGATGTAAGCGCTAGGGCTCTCCACAAAATGGCAGTCTGTGACTTTGCAAAATTGCAACGGATAAAATCCGTGAATTTGCAACGGATTGTGGAGAGTCCTAGCCCTTACATCATGCCTCTCCACAAATATAAATTAAAATAAGACTGAAAAAAATTATACATGTTTTTTTTTTTTAATTTCGACAACCCTTTTTTGATTTTTCTTCACCATTTTGCTAATTCAGCGACCTCATCTAAAATTTATCAAATGATGATGTTTTAAGAGCACTTATTTCTGAGCATACTTGCCCCTGATGATGGAACTTTCTAGTTCCGAAACATGTAGGGCTCTAATGGCTCTATAAAATAATTAAAGTTTATTTGTGGAGGAAGACTTAGTGTAGTAGTAGTAGTAAATGTAATTTTATTAGGCAAATATATATAAATATACATACACACACCCAAAAGGCCATCGACCGAAGTCCTTCAGCCTAAAAAGTAAATTTGCACTTGTTTGGTTCACATTCAAAAGAATTACTGGTTAGAAGAAAAGGAGATTTGGATAAATAGTGTGGATATAAAAAAAAGAAAAAAAAATATATATATACATTATAGTTAGCTAAATAAATATGTAAATAAATAGGTACACTGTTATTGAGTTCTTGTTATCATTTCCCATAGAGTATTTTCTGGATATTTATAGCGTGAAACTTTTCCAGGAGTTCGAATTTTTATTAATGGTCTTAAAAATTCCAAGTTGTATGGTTTTTCAGAAAAATGATTCGACAGGTGCTGCAATCTCTCAACAATTGGTGTGATCCCTGTTCTATTGTATAACTCTTCATTGGAGGGGTGGTGTAGTGGATTTCTTGGGTGCCGCAACTTTGTGATTGCTCGGAGAGCTTTTCTTTCAGCCATTTCCAAATTCTGTAGAGCTGGTCTTCTAATGTTTTGGTAAAGTAAGTGGCCATATTCAATTAATGGTCTACAAATACAGGTATAAATATGAGCTGCAGTTTGGATAGTGATTCCCTTGTTTTTGTATGTGAGTGAACGAAAATGTTTGGCTCTAGTGACTACTCTAATCTGGACATTTTTGGTTTGTTGGTTTAGTGACAATTTGGCATCCAATGAGAAACCCAAATATTTTACAGATGGCTGTGCTTGAATTTGATGAGTTGAGATGGTTATTTTTGGGCTATTTTCATTTAATTTGTGGTTGAATATGATAAATTGTGTTTTTTCTGGATTAAGTAGAATTCTCCATGTTTGCAACCATTTCATTATCAGATTTACAAGTAATTGTAATTTTTCCATCACACCAGAAAGAGTTGTAGAATGTGCTACTCCACCAGTGTCGTCTGCAAACTGCAGAACATATGCGTCTTCGACCCCCAGTGCATTTGAATTGAATATGTCGTAGCAGAATACATTGTATAATAGTGGAGATAGTGGTGAGCCTTGAGGTACGCCTTGTGATGGATAGAATATTTCTGAGCATATTGAGTTTATCTGGATGAATAGCTCTCGGTTTTCTAGGAAGTTCTTAATTAGACAGATCAGATGTTTGGGTACTTTGAGAATAAACAATTTGTATAAAAGACCTTTGAACCAGACACTGTCAAAGGCTTTTTGGATATCTAGGAAAACTGCTGCCGATTTCTTGTTTTCATGTTTCATTGTTTGTATATTGGACATCAAAATTGTCAGAGGATGGAGGGTGGATCTTTTTGTTTGGAAACCAAATTGATGTTTTGGAATGCTTTCGCTCACATAGAAGTCCAGAACCTTCCGTACAACCTTTTCAAAAAGCTTCCCAATCGCTGGTAGCAAGGTTATTGGTCGGTAATTACTTAGTTTTGTTCTGTCTGGATTACCTTTAGGAATTACTGTTATTTTGCCTTTTTTCCACACTGTTGGAAAATGATTATTGCTCAAGCAGAATTCAAATAGCCTGATAATGTGTTTGTGTATAGTTAAATCTAGCTTTTTGATAATATTCCAGGGTATAGAATCATGACCAGGTGAGGTATTTTTCTGTTTAGTTAAGATATTAAAGTAGTCTTCTTGATTGACAGCATAGTTTTCATAAGAGTTTTCTGTAAAGAATTCTTGATACCAGTTGTTGATGAGTGCTTCTTGGTCTTTGTTGAACTCCCGATGTGTCTTGTACTCGAAAACCTTTTCAAAGTGACGCTTGAACACACCTGCTTTTTCTTGATCTGTGTTGAATGACTCTCTGTTATCATCGATAGTGGGTATGTTGAAGGATGGCTTGTATTTGGACAATTTTTTGATTTTCAATTTTTTGATTTTCTGGAAATAGTTTCTTCCTTTTAGTTCGTTAACTTCATCGCAAACTTCAATCCATTTACTTGTTCTGTATTCTTTGATCATATTTTGAATGTTTTTGTTGTATTCGTTTATGTGTCTTTTTATTTCCGGCCTTTTGTTTCGACAGTATTCTCTGAACATTTTTCTTTTCACTTTTATCATTTTAATTATAAATGGAGGAAGAACATGCCCGTAGAATTTACGTTGATACTTTGGCGTATTATCCAGTATTGCAGTTTGTAGCGTGTCCATAAAGTTATCTATTGATTGTTCAGCGATAGGTTCTGATCTTATGGCTCGCAAGTGATGGTTAAGGGTAGTATTAACTTCGTCTATATTTGTTTTGTTGAAGTTTTATTTGATGATTTTGTTTGCTACTATAGGAGCCTCCAAGTCTAGGGAAATAACCATTGATTGATGATCTGACCCGATGTCCGATATTATCTCCACCCTTTTTATATTATCTCTGACATTTTAGAGAGACTTAGTGTTTTTCTTTGAAAATTTAATTCTAATTTTATTTATGAATAATAATAAATTAGTAAAGTAAAACGCGAGGTAAAATGTATTTATTGAAAGCAACGTTTTTCCCTCAGTGTTTCCCTAAAAACTCCAAAAACAATTACATAGCTTTGACAAGAGCCATTTTTTTCGAGGTTGTCATATTAAAAAAAAAATGAGGGAAAAATACAGATGTGAAGTTAGCAGCCAAATGCTTCAAAGGAACCACACTAAAGACCATTGACTGGCATACTTACCTTTTTTTTTTTCACATTCTAAATACATAAATTCAATAAATCATACTTAGACATCGAGTTCTAGCCATGAAACTGATAGGCTACTATTTTAACACCTTTTCCAACTCTCATGTAAAAACTACCCTTAACAAACAAAAATCCATAAATACACAGATTTTCGCATCTTTTTTTCCAATTTGGACTTCGAGTCTAACTATGAAATTGATACGGTACAGGGTGATCTATTATAAATGTAACCCCCTGCTAACTTTTTCATTTGACGTTTTTGACAGAAGTGTCAAATACAAAAGTTTCAAGAAATTGTCAAAAGTTTTTAACTAAGTCAGTTTTAGGCATACAGGGTGCGTCAAAAACGTGCAGCAGTATGAAGTTATATTTTTTTTAAATGGAACACCCTGTATATTGTGCGCCTATTTGTTAGTCCCCTTCAACCTGATTTCAACGATATATGGTTTGATATGTTTGTCCCTCGGTTTATCTCCAATAGTTATAGGGAAAAACGCGAAAACTCCTTCCTAGGTCTCTCTTTTTTTTTTTTTCAATAATAATAATAGCTTAGACATCTGGATTTATTATAATATTTTACCTTGTAAATTAATGGATAAAATTTGAACAATAAACTGATGATAAAAAAAATTCTATAAAGCTTAAATGGTATAATCGAGGGTATAATTTTCCTTTTTTCATATGAAATTTTAAAAGGGGTTTTCATGTTTTTCCCTATAACTGTTGAATAAATAAATAAATAAATAAATAAATTCTTTATTTACGGATATGCCATTTTTACAAAGGTAGACTTAAAGTGTAGGTACACACAATAATAAATACTTGGAATAAAAAGTAGGCAACAGACAAGTTAGTATAAAAAAACAACATTACATAAGCCTAAACAAATATTTTGTAGTAGGTATCAAAACACAAACAACATAATACGCTTAAAAT